AACTAATTCTTTCTTCCTGTACTATATCCTTACATGCAATCTTTCTTTTATATATTGCCACAACTTAATTAACTACCTTTATGAATTTGGTGTTCATCTTGATGTGCTAATGAGGTTATGGCGACTTGGATCGAAGCATATATATGCCTGGTCCTACGTTGTAACTGACTGACTGACTGACTGACTGATTAATGACAGTATTGAGGCGATTCGCACAGGATGTATATATACTAAAAGACACTGGTCAATTACTAATCTTTCACATCAATGCGAAGATTCAAACAACCGATACAAATCAATTAATACAATATGATTAATTATAAAATGTAATTCCTAAAACAATACAAAGAAAGAAACATCGACAGTTATGACTGTCTACAATAAAACTTGATATTTATAGGGTATCAACTACTTATGTACATGAATTACAAAGACCATTCATCACATAAGAACATTTTTTGACGGAGTTTTGTTCTCTGAGCTGGATGGTGTCGTCGTGGATCTTTCATCATCTATCTGAAGTTTGTGCTGATGATGTCGTTCAGAAGATTGAACATCAAATAAATATTAAACCATATTACAAAATGTATGTCTAATGTTAGATTAGTACACTTTCAATGAATAGTTCAAAGGGATATCTACAATTGTATGTGATATAATCCATTCAATTGAGTGGAAAATATCTATGAACTAAACTCTTATTATCAATATTTCAGAATGTTAACAAACATAAAAAGAAAAACAAACTTTAATTTATTCTTGGATTTGATTAGTAAACAACTTATGGATAATAATTAAACTATCATTTCACTATGGATTAGTATTATTCAGATAGCTATTGTAAACCAGAGAAAACTCATTTATTCTGAAAACAGTTAGGTAAATCTAGCTGACGAGTGTCGAATAGGACGAAACACGGAGCCTAGATTCCATCGATAACCATCATCCATCTTTGCTTAAAACAGTATCGAGGCAGTACACACAGGATACATATATGATAACAAGGGACTAATCGATTTCATTCTTAAACAGCAATGGGAAGATACAAGCAAATAATAAGGCAAGATATAAGGTATTAATTTTGACGTAAGTGTGTTGGTTCATAGTGTGGTATGTGCTACTGATATTAACAGATATAAATAGTATGCATCATCAATCGAAAGTGGAATAACTTGACGGCAGATGGTTGAGAAAATCGAAGAGTGATTGATATTGGAAATGAAGGAACAACAAAGAGTGTATACACCGACGCCACTGTGATCGATTCTAAGCCGTATCACACAGAGTCTCCAACCATTGGCTACGATAGTCATGCGGACCACAGCCAAGTAGTTTACATCTACGAACATGGCTTTGACTAGAAGTTAGTGATTTCAGTCCACGTTCAGGTTTGGCCACCCCCATCTTTCATCCAACCGTCTCCAACACCCGTTGGCATTGCACGCCATGGTAATCGATGTTCAGGCATACGTAACACGTGGCCCAACCATCTCAGTCGAGGAAGGTTCATATCCTCATCAACTGATTTACCATCATTCCCTAATACCCTGTGTGCTGAGATTTCGTCAGAAACCCACCCATTAGGGCTGACCAGACTTCCAACATAAGTGAAGTTGTCACCGTGTTCGACCACTTCACTCCCTATCAGGTGTTGACGCAGACCAGTCCTGAAGCAACGACTTGCATTCAGAGGGAGAGAAGCGAATTCCAAACATTCTGGCATTGTTGCTTAGTGCAACCAAAAGACTCTGCATTTTATCAGCGTCTCCATCAAACAGGACTATGTCATCTGCGTATTCTAAGTCGATAAGTGGACCTCCTGGAAGGAGATCAATGCCCAAGAATTCAGTCGACGAGAATGTTATTTCCATTAGTAGGTCTATGATGAAGTTAAACAAAAATGTAGAAAGTGGACAGTCTTGTCGGACACCACTTGAGGTTGCAAAAGTAGATGATAGTTCGCCATGAGCTCTGACTCGACTAGTAGTGTTCGAGTAAAGAGCCTTTACAAGGTTTATGTACTTCTGAGGTACGCCTTTCAATGACAGACACTGCCACAGAATCTCGCGGTCTACCGAGTCAAATGCTAATTTTAAGTCAAGAAAGACCACCATTGTCGGACGTTGATAAGTATGCCAATGTTCTAGAACCTGACGAATGGTGAATATGTGGTCGATGCAGCCACGACCAGGTCTGAAGCCAGCTTGATTCTATCGTGTTTGCAGTTCATGAGTCTTAGTTAGGCGTCTGATAATTATCGGGGCTAGTATTTTAGATACTGTATTAGTTAAACTAATCCCTCTATGGTTTTCACAGGATGATTGTAACGCTCTCTTATCTATCGGGACGATAAGTGATTGTGACCAGTCAGATGGAATAACGTCTAACTCCCAAATCTTATCTAAAATATCAGTCAACCCAATCGTCAAAATTGGATTACCACCCTTAAAACTATCTGGAGTCAATCCATCTGGACCAGCTACCCTTCCTGGTTTCCGATTAACTATAGCCTTTTGAACTTCTGCTAGAGTTGGGTGCCCTACTTCAATGTTCCATTCACACAGTCTGGGAATGGAGGGTAGTTGTAGAAAAGCTGAAGGCCAACTGAACTGTTCTCTGTAATGTTCCGCCGATCGTTCTAAGCGTCTGGACTGAGAGCAGATGACAGTGTCGTCTTTTTCCGAAATAGTCTGACTTACACTTGACTTATTAATTACAGTTATTTTATTAGTCTCTAGAGCCGCCTTTTTCCATGTCTTTTGCTTTCGTTGCCCATCACTGCTCACGGTCGTTTCTTAGACTTTTGCTTAACATAGATCTGATTTGTTTTCGCTCTTCATCATGTTCAGAACCCGATGGGATGAGTTTACGAGAATCCATCAGTGCAATAGACCTTGAAAGGAATCCATTGGTTCTTTGTAACCCTGTGGCCTAAATCACTAGTAGATGTCACTGCTGTTTCCCAGCTGTTTGTATATCTTTCCGAGCAACATCTGGGTCAGCCTCGTTTTCAGAACTACCTAATTGTGACCTCAGTTGTTCCTGGAACCTACTTTTGGTTTTCTTGCTACTCAATTCAGTTCTAATGGGTCTTTTAACCGAGGCTTTTCTGCGTCCAGTGAGGCACAAGCAGATGCGTTCCCGTCTTAGGGCGTGGTCGGAGTCCAAGTAGGTACTTCAGAATGAACGACAATCTTCTACCGACCCTCTCCAACCATGACTGATGGCAATATAGTCTATTTGAGTCCATCGTTGGCTTGGTGTAGGGGGTCGCCATGTTAGACGATGTCTCTCCTCATGCTTAAACTTTGTGCTTGCTAAAAATAAACGATTGTCTGAGCACAGTTGCAGCAGACGATCACCATTATCTGTTCGTTGTGCTGGAATACTAAAATACCCACCTAAATGCCTTTCAGTTTGGTTTAAAATACCTATCTGAGCATTAAAGTCACCTGCTACGAGTACCATGTCTGAACGTTTAGCTTTCTGAAGAAGTTCAAGTAGCTTTCTGTAAAATTCATCCTTCACTTCATCTGAGCTGCAGTCGGTGGGAGTGTAGGCAGAAACGACAGAAAGGCAACGACGTGTGTCCCTATCCTTCCGAGTTCTTATGGAGCCGTTTAGTTCAACAGCACAAAGACAACTGTTAACGGGGATCCACTCCAACAGTGCTTGTTCCGCGGTCATGTTCAGTGCTATGCTTAATCCTGCCAGTCCACGAGAGCTGGCCGTCGAGTCACCAGATACTCGGAGGGTGTATCTCGTTGGCTCTCCGTTTCGCTGAGGCGAGGTCAAATGAATGGCCACGCTGTGATCCTGTATGCGTGTTTCAGAGACACAGCATACATCAATGGTACGAGATTCTAGGGTTCTAGCCAGGGTCGCCTGTTTGCCGACTTGACATAGGGTGCGTACGTTGAAGGCTCCAACGTGTAGTTCGGAGCGAGGTTTCAGTAGACCTGGGACAGTGTTTTGCGCACTAGAATCGTTGGCTGTGGTGATACTGGAATGGGAAGCCGAAAGAGGAAATTTAGAGGTGAAAGTCGATGCAGTAGGAATAATAGGAATTGAAGAGGGAGGTTGATTATGAATACAGTGGTCTTGAGTGCTGTTAGAGGTATGAAACCAGGACATACCAGTCTAGGGCGTTAACGCTTTAGCTATAGACCACTGAGCAACACATCAACCATAGTCTTCAGTGAGTTATTATCTGACAACAAACCCGATCGAACTTCACCATTGGATACAGGCTCAGTGGTCTAAAGGTTAAGCGTTCGCACACAAGACCGATAGGTCTTGAGTTCGAATCTCGCGAGGTGGGATCGTGGGTACACACTGGTGAGGAGTCTCACAATAGGACGAAACGACCGTCCAATGCTTCCATGTGTTGCATGGTGATCTAGCTTCAATTAACTCATGACCTCAACCATTTAAATTACATTAATTGAAAGTATTTATTCTTATTCTACCTATCATTCTCTTACTTACATACACTATTAATTAGAATGATGATAAATATAAACTCACTCAATTCTACTCAAAAATTGTGTAGTCAACTTACGACTTTTGTTTTCATAATATATTATCTAAGTATAAAAATGTTCTATGTTGTCCTGACTACTGTTGAAATTGATTTCGACAAATTAGACCAAAAATAAATTCTTTATTACAATCAAGATGATCTTATTGTTTTTATTATAAATATAGAACATGGTAACTATATCTCTGTCAGTTCTCTCTAGTATCTATGATAAAAGTGGTCAATGTACAATATTCCTATTAGTAGTTTGAAGCTTAAAGTCAAGCCTATATTCCACAAGAAATCAATAGACTAGTTTTTATGACTAATATCCATAGTGTAATTTGAATGTTCATCATTATTATTTTACACTGATGCATTACATGTTAAATAACTTTAGTTAAAAGTTCTATATTATGATGAAATATTGATCGTATGAAAGTTATGTTTCATTTGTTAAACTTAAGAACAGATTTTTCCCATGTATATTCAAAATTTTTCCACGCCTAGTATGAGGTAATAACTGTTATATTGGGAATAGTTAAAAATATGTTATACAATTATACTATAGAACAAGTTATTAATAAAGTACCCTTTAACTTATAAAAAGTTATTAGTTCCATCCTTCATCTAGAACAAAAGATCTAATACAAGTACGTACTTGTACAAGTTACTAATCTCCATCGATATCTATATTATTGCTAATTCGACTTAAAATGATTGAAAACCATGTGGTTCTATCTCTTAGTTTTCATTTCAATTGTTGGAAGTTATTGTGGACTTACCTTTTATTTAGGTTATCTTATGTTGGTAAATAATCTAAGAGATAATCTTTTAATCATATAGATAGACGCTTTCAACGCTACAGAACATTTTACACGAAATGAAGTTTGTTCATATTTAGCCTATATTTTATAATAATAGTAAAAGTAGACTGATGAATTACAGTTGTAAACATAATGGGACGATTTAGAGAGCAACTAATATAAAGGAATTAGATTTCTCCCCATTGCAAAAGTCAGTTGGCTATCTGAACTGATTAGCTAAGTAGACAACGTGATGGTGTTTGAAGCGAAGGGTTCTAATCTCGGGGTGAACATTAACTGTGGGATCCAGGTAAATCTAGTTGGTGAGTCCCAAATAGGACGTAACACGCTTTCTGGATTTCACTCCTGGTTACTATCCATCCCTGTTTAAAAATGCTTATGAATTGCTGACATTATCAAAGCAATCCTCACAGGATGGACACTTATCAACTGTAGTTGTAAACATCAAAAACTGACCAACGATATTATCCGCTTGTTCAATCCAATGCAGGCAAAATGAGCCTTAGTTTTAAGACTGACTAACTTTCCGGAAGTTGGACGCCTTAACTACTATGTCACTTTCATACTCATAGTTCATCCTAAAAATAGAGCAAGATTAAAGATTCCTTGTTTTGAAATTTATTCTGCCATGGATATCACTAAATCTTTATTTACGAATTTTTATTATTTCTATTCATAATTCGTATAAATATAGCTTGTTATACCATTGTCAAGCTTCCTTGAACCAGTTGAATCGAACTCATCCGTGATTCGTGTTTATACGGCTGCAATTCTATCTGGTACAGTCCAAATAACTCGTCAACCTTTATTGTTCTTGATAACTGTACATCATTTGAATCGATGAGTTTGTATTTATTAAAACAAAAAATTCCCTATGAATGCAACATCACTTTCCTAATTTCAGATGTATGGAAGATAGACATTGTTAGGAACCTACCCTTGAAAATATCATTTTTCTGCTTATTGTCAAAAGTTTGTGATAAACTTGATAATTAAGTGCGAACATGAGAGACTTATTGATCTTGACCAACTCTGGACTCAGTCCAAACAATCAGAAAACTGTAATTATGAAAATATGATTTACAGTGCTGGGATTAGCATGGCTCAATATCGATCACATTGGCGTCGTTGTATACATTCTTTGTCTTTCCTTAAACTATGAGATTAAAATCGCTTCATATCTTTCTTTCTATGAACTAATTCTTTCCTCGCGTACTATGTCATTATACGCACTCAGTCTTTTACATATTACCACCACTGAATTAACTACTTCTATGAGTCCGGTGTTCATCTTGCTGTGCTGATTAGGTATGGCGACTTGAAACGATGCATATATGTGCCTGGTCTTACGTTGTAGCTGACTGACTGATTAGCATTTACGCTTTACCATTTCTGCACGTGTATCTCAATCGTGTAATTAGACGCTGTGCTTCTTTGAACATCTATCTTTATATCCATTGGATTGTCATATCACATACGTAATCCGACTTAGAATAAATAACGAACAGTTTTGAATATGTCTTTAGACAGCCAGTAATAATCAATGTAGGATCCAAGAATGTATATACGTTTATCTAAGTTCTCACATATTAATGTTTAATTGCAAAGGAATTAAAATAATATAGCAGCTACCATTCTAAGAAAGATTAAACAATCCGGATATTATTCGAAAATAAAGGTGCACAATCTTTACTTTATAGCGCACGATAAAAAAAGGAATGAATCTGTGCCACAGTCAGTCAGTCAGTCAGTCAGTCATAACGTAGAACTTCGTACGTACGTACATCAGATCGAGTTGCCACACCACATTAGTACAGAGATGCAGTTGTCAATTGAAATCTAGTAGTGCTAAAGGTAGTAAAACTATAAGCAGTAATCGGAAACATTAGGGTTTGAAGATGTTATTCAAGGAGTATAATACAGTGAGATAAATTTGGAAAGAGAAAAGTGAAAGTAGCATGAAGAATTCAGAAGATTAGAATTCGGGAGAACATTAAGAGTGAATGCACCTGTGCCATTGCAAACGATTTTGAGCCATGTCATTCAGGGTCTCTAACCATCGGTTGCTAACATCTCGCGGTTCCCAACCAGGTAGTCTACACACACTAATATGGGACTGTTCCACTGTAACTCATTATAACACATGTCACCACTCAACGTTTAACTTTATAATCTAATTACTGTAAAGGATTGAATTTTATCAAAAGAGAGTTACATAAATAAGTGATAATAACCTAACTCAGTTTTATTATTCTTTTATTCTTTAACTATCTGATTTTTTCATTCCAGCTATTTATACAATAAAGATAATCGGGATAGTGAATTTACTCAACAATTTGTACGTTTATGTAAATTATTACCTCAAATGACAAATGTCAAACCAACATCATCATCATCATCATCTCGTCGTCGTCGTCGTCTATGCAAACAATCGGTAATAAAACTGATATTCTAAATTTACTACGATTTTATAAACAAACTAATAAACAATGGTTACAACCAAAGAAATCCATCGAATTGAATACAAATTTACATGTTGGTCTACATGATTCATTAGTTCATTTAATTCATAATGATGATGATAATAATGATTATGCCGACATAACTAGTGCAACAACATTTAATGAAGCTATTTTCAAAGCATCTATTGAATGTTAAAATGCTGATACACTACCTAAGCATCGTCAACTTTATTGGATTGAATTATTTGAAAGAGTATGAGGAAGGCCGTAAAGGAAAATCGTTTTAATGGAGAAAATAAAGTTTAACTAAAATCATACATCTAAAGATACTACTTATTTACTTATTATCAAATGAACATACTATGATATTTACAAACATGTAAATAACATTTAATATTGTATTCTATTTATCATAGTTCTTGTTGCTATAAAAAGATTATGAGAAGATTCATTCTCTTATTTGATGATGTTTCAATCATTTCACTAGCTAAGCGTACAATTACAATTGTGTTAAAACAATGAAGGCACAAGTAATTTATTACACTGAACTAAGTATTTTTCACTGGTAATAAACAAGTCACTTGGTGATGGAAAAGATCTCCAGTATTAATGGATGTTTCACATATATAAATGTGATACGATGAAATTATCTTATGAATAAAAGAAAACTGGTTTGTAGAATTCTAAATGTAGCAGAATATTTTAGGGACTATCTGTGCTTTGTGTAGTAACCAAGGTCATAATATATATCTAGTTTTCAAGTAATGATCGATCAAGTTGAAATTTAGCCATTTGTCTTTACTGACTTTATGTTGTGTGTACTGTGTTTTTGCGTATCGATTGCTTAGAGTTATCCGGTAAGTGTTGATTTGTAGGGCTGGCTTTTTTCTCATTGTTTGGATTGGTCAGCAAGACGTATGTATAATTTTAAGGGAACTGATGTCGACAAGAAGCTTAAAAATAATGATAATATGTGAAAGGAATCAGAAGCGCTTTTAATCAAAGTTGAGAAGGAATGATAAAAAGTAAGTCTCATACCATAAAATAGAAAGTAACAATTATTCAAGATCAAGCCAAAATTGACTGTGATTGTGAGATACTGTAACTAAGACTAGTAAATCGTTTACTCATAGCCAGCTGATCAAACGAAATCTTATAATAAAATCAATATAAATGAACACATAATCTAGTTGATTGATTATCATTCATTGATTTTTCGTTCGAATATTACATAATCAATAATTAAGAGTTAACTAGTTTTAAAAAATATTGATTTTCTATTTATTAAGCTTTAAAAATTCTAAACAGATTTGTAATGTCCTAATTCAAGTTTTATGATGACGTAATTATTTGCTATGCTCAATAATAAGCCTGATAATTAAGCTTTATTATCATAGTATATCAGAACATTCGTCAAAATTATAAAAACGAATAGTATCCAAGACTTAGGAGGGTTGATTTAATGTGAAATACTCAAGAGGAAATTATATTTGTAAAATTCTCAGCTATGGAACTTAAAATAATACCAAAGTTTCTCTTATCAGTCCAGTCCGAGCCTTCCGAAAACAAATAATCAAGCATCAAGACGATCAATAATTTCTTACCTAATATCTGTAGTTTCATAGGTTCATCAATGATCTGAACAACTAATGTCTAACAATCATTGAATTTTTCAACATATTTTAATCACTTTTAAAAGTCGGATTCATAACTCGATTAAAGCTAAACCATCATGTAAAACCTGGGAGCACTGGACAACCGTTTCGTCCTAGTGTGTAGCTCCTCATCAACGCGCATCCGCGATCTTGCTACACACCAACTGAACCGAAGACCTCCAATCTCACACGCGAACGCTTTACCTCTAGACCATTGAGCAGGTATCCAACGGTACTAATGTATAATTTCAACCAATTCACAATATTGCGCGACCATTCACCATTGTCATCAGTGAGTAACTGCTTCTACAACAGACTTGGTTGAATTCCACTAGTCACGGCTTCTCACTAGAACTCCACGAAACCCATCTTGGAGCCAGTCACCAGTGAGCACATGAAATTCTAGTCATATCTATTTTGTGTAAAATATCCCATATATATTCGTCCGATGTAAATTTGGATTAGAATATTCAAGATTCCCATCAGAGATCCTGGGTTCGATTAGTATGTGGCATGATCATGGATGAGCATCGCCGAGGAGTTCCATACTAGGACGAAGCAGCCATCTATTGTTTCCAGGTTTCACATGATGGTCAAGCTTTAATGGAATTATGAATTCAACTATTACATGTGTTATTCTTATTTGAATTCATAGAAAAGAGAATTATCATTTGACTATCATCAATTCAGACAATTAGTCTATCATTCACAGTTAGTACAATTCATAGTGATTTCCTTACGTCATCATAATATTATTGTTTTGACTGTTTAGCTTGTATATGTCATATACAAGTCCTTTATTAGTTAGGACAAATTTACATTCTATGCAAATTATGCAATAAATTTATCATTTCAATAAATCCTCCAATGTAACCAAAGTTTTTCTCCTTTGTATTCACATTAGACTAATGTAAATTCATAAATGTGCCTGGTCCTATGTTGTATTTGACTGACATAACAACATATGGCTTTTACTATTCATTGATATGGTTATGCTACTAGTATTTTTTTTAAAATTCCCACCTGACTTTTGATTCGTTGTCTTTGATTTCATCTTTTTGAAGGGATGACAAAATCTCCCCATAAATTATAATCTTCCTGTCACAGTGAAAAGGTGCATACATTTTATTTGGACTGTCTTAGTGTTGAGGTACATACTACTGATATCGGAAGATATAAGTAGTATGTATCAACAATAGAAAGCAAAATACCTAGAGGTATATTAAGAAGATCGAAGAGAAGAGAACGAGAACAGTGAACAATTGATGTAAAAACGAAAGAACAATGAGTTCTGAGATAAGTGATTGACATTTTGCAAATGAAGTATTCACTGTATGCTTCTCAGATTTTACTAAGAGATTCTGTAATTTTCTATTCAAATATATTTGGTTATGAGCCCACTGGTGTTCTCGTTCACTACAGTGTATGTGGGCAGGACATGTAAAAGTTTCTAATGTAAATATAGTTTTCCTCGTCAAATGACAGGAACATCACGAGGGGTATTAAAATATTTGGCAGAATTGATGAGATACTAATATTTTTTAAATTATGAATAATAATGATGGATGTGTCGCTCAATCTCGTGGATTAGTTAAAGTTAGACATTAAAACCGTTGGTTTTCAGTTCTGTGGTCTAGTGACTAAGCGCTTGCTCGCAAGACTGATAGGTCCTGGGTTGGAATTTCGCGAGTCGGGATCGTGGATGCGCACTGATGTGGAGTCCCACACTAGGACGAAACGGCTGTCCAGTGCTTCCAGGCTTTCCATGGTGGTCTAGCTTCAATTGACTCATGGACTCAAATACTAAAATTACGAAGATGTTTACAAGGACTTCTAATATATTGTAATTCTCTACTGAACTCGAAAAGCATGCTTGTAATTCTTAGCTTTTCTTAATTTTCATGTTTTAGATTTTGTCCTTACGTAATTAGTTCTAATAATTTGATTATCTAATTGTAATTGTTAGTCCACCAGGGTGCTTTATACCTGTGTGCTCGCGCCACAGGATTGAGCTGAACTATTCAGATTGTAGCATTAAAGCCTATATAATGTCTGGTTCTCCTGTGAAGTGAGGTTGAGATGCCCTGTTCGGGTTATAAAGTTTAAGCCTGGATGGTGTCTGGTTATCTTAGAAACGGGATTTAGCCGTACTATTTGGGCTACAAATTTCAAGCCTGGGCGGTATCTGGCTCTCCTGTTAAACGGGATTGAGCTGTACTGCTTGGGTTGTTGCCTGAAAGTTTGAATAGTGTCTGGTTCTCCTGAAAACCAATATAAAATTACTCTGGCACACAAGTATATTATATATATAATTATGAATTCTCATTGTATTCAGTCTACTAATTACTTACTGTTTTTTTTACAAATCGGAATAAATATTTATGTTTCAAACTGAATTTCACATTTCTTAATTCTTATTCCTATTCTTACGTAATTATTTGCAAGAATGAACTGATTGTGTAATATTGTCTTCATTTTGTATCTCTATAGTTACGAACTGATCAGAATCTTTAGACAAAATATTGAGATATAGATAATTTATTCTAAATAGTGTATTTGATACACTGTGGATACGAACAAATCAGCTTCCATCTGAAGAAGAAATTAGGGGAAGACGCTAGAAATGGGTAGGTCATACATTGAGGAGATCACCAAATTACATCACGAAACAAGCACTAAGTTGGAATCCTGAAGAGAAACAGAAAAGAGGAAGACCAAACAACACACTGTGTTGGGAATGGACAGAGTTGAATGGAAAGTGCTGGTGGGTGGCCAATGTTCCTCTCTGAGGTGTAACAAGCATAGGTAGACACAGTAATAAACCCATTACTACCCTGGTAATTCAATTTTTTGTCATTAGTTCTTTGTTAATGTTTAGCTTGTGTCATATTTCTCTTCCATTATCGAATTTTTAAACTACTCCATCGCTCACAGATTTTTACTCACTTGATTCTCTTAAAATTATGTGGAGTTTTCAAGTTCTATTCAATTATTACGTAACCCATCTTATCAGTTTTTAATTCCATGAATCCTTCATTACTTCTAAACTGATCACATAATTGATCTTATCTGTCTCTGAACTCCACTCAACTATTACATCACCCATTCTAATATCAAATAACCTCTGACCTGTTCTTGCATATGTATATATATATATAGTTATTATCGATAACCCTTACCATTCCTAATTCTTTACATTTAATTATTTACATACAATTATTTCATATTATATATATCTCAATGTAAAATTCCAATACATATTTTGCTGATGAGAAACCGCAGAATATAATGAATTCATATTATTCTGCATCCATGTTTGTTCTGGATTGGCTCAAATTCATAGGTAAGTAAGTACATTTGGTATTAATCTTATATTACAATGTAAAAACAATATATTAGTATAGAGTCAAAATAGGGAGTTAACTAAAATCGAATATTTCTCCTCTTATTGATATTGCATTTTTAACGTAGTGTGGTATCGGTTACTATGTTAACATGCTACAATGTTACATGCAAAATGTAATAAGAGTTTCGAATGCTTGTCAAAACTTGTTATTCAACAATATAGAATATTCTATGGGGATTTTTAAAGTGCAAATATGCTGTTGACATTACGTGCAAAAAATATTAAGCCCAATTGACGAGCACAATAATCTATTCACATGACTACTTACATAGACAAGTATTTTTTGTCATAATTTTAAACAGCTCAACTGCAAAGAATGTACAGGTAAAAACAAGTAACTCTTTTAACGGATTAGCAAAATAATACAATTGACAATCTTGCATTTATTTATGACACCATTATTCAGGTAAAACTAAACAATTCTTTTCTACTAAGAATTACTGTTTGGAAAAGTACCCAATCATAAATATTATTTGCTATTTTCTGAGAGAAGTTATTACTATTTTGCTTCATTTACCGATCGTTAACGGTTAGCGTGATTTATGCATGCCCTATTCATTATTCTATCATGATGATTTATGGATATGTTGCTACGCATATAACGTTTATTAAAATAACATACGATGTGTTAAGAAAAAACTAATGGAAATACTTCGATGAATAATTTCTTTACTAATTGTGTATTAAACATTTGACCACCTTTCAAAGTCAGTTATTACTATCATCAACTATTAAAACCAGTTATAAGTTTTTTCCAAAATTCTCTTTTAATGATCTAATCCACGAAATTTCTATAAATCTCAATTGATTATATTGCTTAATCACTAAGGCTTTGTTATGGCTCAAAGTGACATGCGATTATATGACAGTGACTTATCGACCGGACCAAGGATTCAGAATCTCGATAGTCTATTCTGGTCCGTTGTCCCCAACTCTGCTAACTTGATCAAGAAGTCTGGGTAAGGTGCAAAAAGTGTATTCTACAGACAAACAGCAGATAACAAGTCAGGCAGGCAGATCAGATCAAGCATACAAATCAAGCGTATTTATACAAATATTTACAATCGATATTGTCATAGAAGATTTTTGAACATTAATCAACAATTGACTGCTATTTGAACATTTAATCGATAGTTCATCAATTGACCTATTTGTACATTTAATCGATAAGCAAATTACGAAATTTGAATTTTGGGGATCTATCGTCCCCAACAGGCTTAATTAAAATTCATCCATGTTGGTTCAGTTGACCTTTCCTATAGAAATGATGTCGTTGTACTAGTGAACTGGTAGTAATACATTCGCCTATAGTAACTAACTTTATGACAAAACACTGAAACATTCTGAATACGTTTTGCATGTACTATTGTTAGACAGATTAGTGTTCATTAGATGACATTTCCTATACGAAATCGTTTACTTAAACCATATATTTGACAATGCTTAAAAAGCGTTTACGAATATGTAGGTGCTAATCACGTAATGACTATTAATCTTAAATGGATTTTGATGGTTTGATCACTTGACCTTTGCTATGGAAATAAGGAATCGAAACAAAAGAATTTAAATCAAATTGTGGGTGGCCCTGAAAAGGGCCTTTACTAGTTCTCTTAACAGTTCCGAGTTTCATGAACAAAAGTGTTGCTATTATTCCATTATAGCTCCGTACATGGGACAGTGGATTCCATGGACGTGTGCTGATGGGTCGTAGGCACAAAATAAATGAAGCATTGCTTCGCATGGACAAAAAACCCAGGTACTTCCATCAGCAGTTTCATGTGGCGGTTGCGCAAGATTGCAAATATCATAAAGTCTGTTGTCATACGCGTCTTCGTCATTGTCGTCGCCTCGTTCAGTGAACTCCTCTGAGCTAATCGAAACAATTTCTTCCTCGTCATTCCTCAACGTTGCATCCATATCGACATTATTTTGACAGTTGGTAACTTACAAAATACGAAGGAAGGACATTGAGTGTTCACGGTAGTCCTTAATGAAAAATTATAATAACACTAATTAAATTACCTCGTTCGTCTACTCGGCTGTGAAGAACCGCTAGATCTTCTACGACCATTTCTCCAACATACGAATCTAATATACGGCTTCCGATCTCTATGTAAATGAGAATCCCTCACCACATAATGGCAGTACGCAGCTGTTTCATAAGTTCTTATGGAGCTCGCCAACTGATTAAGACGTTACGACATACAATGTACTCAAGAACGAACAGGTTATCGGTTTCTTTGACAACGTGAGGAACGACAGAGCTCGAGTTTTGCATGTTACCACCGTCCATAATTGTAAGAAAATGTGCTCTGTCGTCATGTCCTGATATTTTATATCGATTTGAAGAAATAAACGACCAATTATAACGAACTCAAAACTAGTTATTTGATTAGACGAAACAGAATGAAAATTATTGGAAGATGGGGCTGAAAAATTTTTTCAAAAGGGATGAAAAAAAATTTCACTCGAAAAAAAAAATACAAAAATGGCCGTGCAGTAAATGTTTACCGCTTTCGTAGTTTGTCAGGGTTTCTTGTTTCCCTGTTCACATCATGTTCTGTGATGGGCTCAATAGAAAGACAATAAAAATACGGCACTACAAGCATAATCTCCAGCAATATATACCAGATAAAGACATCAGTGTGCATTCCAAACTTGATACTCCAGTCTCCTCTACAAATCACATCGCTGATGCCCACTTTTCAAGTATAACTCAACTTTTGTTTGTACAAATCAATCCATCTCACAATATACTATCATAATCAATAGAAAAGACATCTTTATTCTCTTAATATTGTCAATTGTATTTAGAGAATAACCAGGGCTTACTATGTTCATTTCCCGAACAGTGTAGTCGAAGTTAACATGTATTAATTCATTCTTATCAAAGTTTGTCAGTGATAGATACCGATCATTTATTTCTGATTTATAGTATTATCACTCAATAATGGATAGTTTCTATCTAATCATTAAGAGGTAAGTAAGAAATAAGTAATAACTATCAATATATAGTAAGAGAAAAAACGTCGAAAATCCAGGCTAAGGAATAAGAATGAAATTGACCAATTCTAGAGATAAACATCAGGAAGTGATAAGTATGTAACGGATAAAACTAATGGATAATAAATCGAATTCAAATGTATAAAACACTTGAGTATTTTCAAATTATTCAGGGTAATTCTATGTTTGTTCTTAGAACTGACAACTGAAAGATACCTGGATAACTATTCATGAATATGATTATTGAAACAATCTCTGACTTCCTAAATCTAACTTCTTATACCAACCCTAATAATTTTTGGGGGATTTTTATGAAATAAATTATTCATCTGAATAACTACTCGAAACCTGATTATTTTATAAGATTAACTTCATCGTATCAAGGTCATTTTAAACATCGGTAAAGGTCTTAGTATCTAGCAAGAATGAAAATTGACGGGGATGAAGCAGTTGCCCACAGAAGACATTAGATGAACGCGCAATATCATTGGTTGACTAATGTTAAACATTAACACCTTTGTATGCCGGCTCAGTGGTCTACAGGTTAGGCGTTCTCGAACGAGACCAAAAGTCCTTGATTCGAGTTCCGCGCACAGGATGATGCATTCGCACTGCCGAGGAGTCCCATACTAGGACGAAACAGCCTTCCATTGCTTCCAGTTTACCAATGATGGTCTGATTTAGGTCGATTCATGATTTCAACGAAAGAAAATATGAGGTTAAAGAAGACAGTCTGTCAAGTTTCACGCCGACATAGTAGATAGTGCATGTGATGTCAAGTTATTTAGACGGGCAACCACGCAGCAAACTGATTGATGGAATTCGACCACTACTGATTAAAGAACTAGATAAACATGACATCTGTCACTACTATGTAATGTTGACAGAAATAATGAACAGCAAGTTTAACAAAAAAGTATGCATAGATAAATACATATGAGAATAAAAGAAAGAAAACAGTAATAACAACATACCAGGTGAATATGCAACACATTCGATCTGTTCACCAAGTCCATCGGAATGTGCAGCAATTATTTCTTGTTTTAAACAATTGAATACTAACCAACGTTCTGTACTTGTACCTAATACCACTAATAAATCATGTGAGTTCATCATTGATACATTGAAATCTAAATTATTTGTTTCATCAATTATATTATTATCATTATTACTAACTGGACTCATAGTCCCATTTGTTATTAAAACTGATTGAAGGGGATAGAATGCAGCACAATGTATAGCATCAGTGAATTCTTTTGACCAAATAGCTTGTTTTGATAATGAATCCCATAGAATTACTAAATGATCACGTCCATCTGTTAAAAATTGATGAGCTTGTGGATGTTTAGCAAGACTCCAAAATTCTTCACAATGACCAAACATTAAAGGACTTATTTCCATACCAGGACCAGCCTTTATTGAAAAGAAAAGAGGAAATGTACATCACTACAGACAACTAGTTGAATTAAATAATTTTGTATGCTGATCCAGTAAAGATTCAACTACGGTTGGCCACACTCTATTGAATAGGAATTTTAGAGTTGACAAAATCGAATAATCGTGCACACATCTCAACTTAGGCTTAGTGATCAATTTACTTAGTCCAATGATATGCTTCGTTTGTACACCTCACCGACTGGTGAACTTGAGATATATGATCTATTTAGTCTTCACAATATGTGACATAGATACTGTCATGCGGTGAGTCATCAAACTTTACATTTTAGAAAATTCAGCAAATTGAGGTTTATGGGTGAACTAAGAAGGTTTCAAGAAGAAATCCATTACTGTATTATAGATGATGTCATTTCCTGATGAAAACCCTAATAATTCATACATTAATATTCAATAATGTATTGAAACTCTATTCTTTTCTCATCATAAACCGTTTCACAACAAAACACTGTTTCCTCATCAGCTAAAATGTACTTCAAGGTCGTCCCCCTAAACATTAATCAAACGGTCGGTTAACGTGAGATTACGCTAAAAAAAATAATAGGAAAGTGCTTGTCACGCGGTACAATATTCAATGCAACAATAATACTACAGTAAATATTACCTCTAGTATCATATTCTTTGTTGTGCTAATAATTAATAATTCTCCGGACCTTGTGTAATAGTTCTTACAGCACCATATAATTCAGCTAATTCTTCAGTATGACCAGTTGGATTAAGAGTTGCATCAAAGAATACTAAACGACGATCTTTCCCATCACCAGATATAAGACATCCATTATTTGTTAAACTTAATGAAAATATACCGCCTTCATGTACACCTTGACATATTTGATTCACTGTATTTGTACCTGAATTATAATAAGGATTATAATGATGTTAATTCGAAAACATTCAACAAAGAATATTAAAAAGGCAAAAGTATAATTTACTGACGAATCACTCATATGTAAGATAACAATTACTGAAATTTTCTACTAAGTTCAATATATGATGACAGAAAACTTGCAACTTATTAAGAGCTAAGTAGGTGGTCGCTTAAAATTTCATAAATGTGACAGGAATTACACAAATAGGGACGAGCTGGAGCAGTGATGGCAACCATCTCTTTCGATATTTAATAAAAGTGAGATGTCCGGGATTTTCCGATATTTTCTCCGATCACTTTCTGGGTCAGTGATACTGTGGTGTATGCTACTTATATTGACATAAGTAGTATATGATGTTATTCGTGAACAGAAGGTCTGACAGCAGAGAGACAAGAGGATTGAACAGTAAAGAATGGAAATAGGATGCAATTTGTATGAAAATGCAAGAACAATGAAGTCTGAGTCATTTTGAGATAATTGGTGGACATTTTGCAAATTTAGCATTTACTTCATAATTGTTAGATTTTATCAACAAGTCCTGTGATTTTGTGTTGCATACATTCAATTGTCCCCACTCGTATTCTGTTCACTACAATACATGTAAGGACGTAATTTTCACTGGTGAATTGGTTTTCATAGTAATCCAATCACTCTTGATGGCGAAACTCTGGAAGATGTAGAATTCTTCACATACCTGGGAAGCACCGTCGATGAACAAGGAGGTTCAGATGCAGATGTAAAGGCGAGGATTGGCAAAGCAAGGGCCGCATTCCTACAATTGAAGAACATATGGAACTCAGAACAACTTTCAGCCAAAATCAAAGTGAGAATCTTCAATACGAACTTCAAGGTAGTTCTACTGTATGAAGCTGAAACTTGGAGAACTACTACAACCATCATCAAACATGTACAAGTATTTATAAATAGTTGTCTACGCAGGATACTGAACATCCATTGGCCGGATAACATCAGCAACAGCCTTTTATGGGAGAGAACAAACCAGCTTCCAGCTGAAGAAGAAGTTAGGGACAGACGATGGAAATGGATGGGACATACATTACGCAAATCGTCAAACCGCATCACGAGGCAAGCCCTAACTTGGAATCCTGAATGGAAGCGGAAGAGAGGAAGGCCAAAGAACACATTACGTCGGGAAATAAAAGCAGATATGAAAAAGATGAATAACAAGTGGAAGGAGCTGGAAAAGATTGCCCAGGAGAGGGTTGGATGAAGAATGCTGGTGAGCGGCTCATGCTCCTCCACGAGGAGTAACAGGCGTAAGTAAAAGTAAGTAAAGTAGTTCATGATGAAAACTCTAAATCTAAATCCTAACGCTAACCATCGACTGTAAATCATAATTCTAATTCCTCACAGTTTTATAACACTCGATTAGTTCTAGTTAATAGGTGGGTATTCTCAAGATCACTTTAGTGTCACCCAAAGGTCGTCAACAAGTTATGGTTTGGCCGAAAACAAATAGAATTAAAATGTCTATAACATTTTAACATGACTTCGAAGGTGATTTAAAGATGCTTGATATTTAAAATTAAGACAAAAAAACCACGCAACATATCCATATGTCAATATTAAATAAGAAGTATTCTTGCATTCTATTACTGAACATCAATTTGAATTTTTGATCCTGATCCGAGCTCAATATACAAACTTTAATCATTAATACATATCACTTGTATTCTGATTGGCTAAAATATGGCTTCATTTTCTTAAGATCATTTATGACTGACTTCATGAAGATAGTACAACTATACTCTACTAAAAGTGTCATAATCTGTACGAAAATTAAGATATTTTTGATAAACTCACACCTTCACAAAATATTCCTAATGTGATCAGTATAAAAGATGTGAAGATAATGGGGAAGACTTCTGCCAGTGACCAATAATTAATAACGTTTAGTTGGCACGTGAGAATCATTTACTAATCTATATTAAAATGGTATTTGGTTTTTAACGAATAGATATTTATTATGTTGGGGGAAAAAGACAGATTGTTTGTTTGATTTTGATTGGGTCCTGTGCAACTAGGATGTAATGTAATGACAGGAAAGCTGTTGTATGATACAATCTCCTTCTAAATCGATAATTGCTTAGCTCATTTTTATTTGCGTGGGGATCAATGACATTCTATTTACCAAATGATTGGTCAAACGACAGAAACGGAAAACATCATTTAATAGACCGTATAGCAGAAAGAAAATAAATTTAAAGTATAGTAATTCGTACCACATTCTCCAAAACCCTAAAGTATTACCATGTCTTGACAGAGCTGCTTTGAAACCAAAGCATTCTAGGTACATATTAGAAATACAAAGAAAAAAGACGTTAAACGGCGATACCAAATAATTTAATAAAGAATAACGAACTTTATTTTAATTACCTCGTTTCCATGCAATAATATTCCCAACAGAATAATCAGTCAGTAAATCACCAAAATGAAAATACAAGAACAATGAAGTGTGCGCCATTTTCAGACAATTGACGGTCGTTTTGCAAATTGAGCATTTTCTACATGGTTGTTCGAATTTACTAACAGGTTGTTTATTTGTTGACAAATACAGTCGATTGTTCCCCACTGGTGTTCTCGTTCACTACTTTAATTTGACTATTGACGTTGCAGTCTACTGAATGAGGTTTTCTGACGAAATGAGTAGTATGTGAGGTGTGTGATGTGTATTTGCTGAGATGAGGATAGATGAGTGTGGTTGTGAGAGGATTTAGTGAAATGAATGGAATTTCGATGGTGGACGAATCGGCATTGTGCATCAGCTCATCTATTGTGCTGATGTACGGGTGTGATTGATAATTCGCAAAGAGTAGATTGAATGTAATGTTGTGGATAATGAATAGGAGAGAGAGAGTGATACGGAATGTTGTGACACCGGGTGGATGCTCAGCACTGCAACTGGTTCGGTTGAAACTCAAGACGAACCGTAATCGACTGTGCATGAGTGTGTGGTGATTGTCAGTCGGATGGCCTCACCCACCTCCCTTCCATTTGTAAAACTTAAACTGTCACTTTAATCATCACATCACTTCACTTCACATCTCATCGCATTACATCACGTCTCATTAAACACACTCACAACCGCAATGTCCTGACAACGCAAAACGCTACTTTTATCACACTAGCCTTACACTATTCATGCAATCCACAGTCACACACTCATGTGCAAACAGGTACTCATGCATGCACGCACATACACATACAACAGAGACTGCATTTATGCATCAATATATATCGATCTGTCTCGGAAATCTGTGACGGTTTGCATACATGCGTGACTCACTGTCTGGCTGTTAGTCAGTAAGTCGTTCAGTCAGATTTTTAGTTGGTCAGGCAGGCATTCTGACTGTCTGCATGCTGTCTGTATGTGTATCTGACCGACTGACTGAGTGAGTGATTGACAGCCTAAGTGACTGCCTGACAGAGTAGCCATCTGACTGAGTGCTCGTGTGACAGATTAACTGTCTGACTGAATATCATCCGACCTGCATGTCTATCTGTGTGGATGTCTGCTTGCATGTGTGTGAGGCAACCTCCCTCTTTCTGTCTACCTGAGTATCTGTCTTTCCGTCTACCTGTCTCTCTGTCTGTCTGCCTCTTAGTCATTTTGTCTGTCCGGTCACCGTTGCTGCGTCCGTGGCTCTGTCCTTTCGTTCCAACTTCTGCCTTCCCGCCTGTCTGCTTGCTTGCCTTCTTGCTTGCTTGCCTTCTTGCTTGCTTGCTAGTCTGTCTCCCGCTATCTGTCTCTCCGTCTCTCCGTCACTTCGTCACTTTGTCTGTGTCTGTGCAGGTCAGTCAGTCTTTCCGTCTGTCTGTCTCTCTCATTGTCCCTTTCCGATTATGTTCCTGCCTTCTCGATTACTCCTTCTAATACACAGTCGAACAACACATGATGAACTACTTAAAGGAGATTCGGTTGACTGCAGATTTTTAGATTCTTAGTTAAGCTGTGACGGATGAGATGTTTGTTTGATCTATAGATTCCTTTGTACTTTATGTCTGTCTGATTTCGAATTCCAAATACAATACATTCGTTAGCATTCACGTAGTCCTCCTTGATCTAAATCGTATTACTGTTATTTCTGGGATTGGTAGATCACAATGATTGGTTAGCATCTCAAGAAAACCTAAATCGAATTCCAGTCTAGTTGAAGATGCCACAATTATTCGGAGTTTGACAACGCTTTAACTAGTAACACCTAATATGAATCGTATTCACCAAGTGAAATCAAAAGACAGAAGTGAGGATGTTCGAAGATATATTTGATATGCTATCAATATATCGAGGATTGTCTGATCGAATTTGGCGGATGCGTATGCATGACCGAGCGCCTTCAGCTAGCTGAGTTCACTTTAACTAATGTGGTCAGCATCCAATTTTGAAAAGTTACAGGGTTATTTATTTTGGTGATTTATTTACCGCTACTGAGTAAATAACGGTAAATTAACTTTCAAAGGGTAAAGTAATTTGCTTGAGAAATTACGAATTATTTGTAATCAGGTGGACTGCAGGATGTCATTGTATCGAGTAATAAGAATAAAAGTATTCCCAACAGGACGGTATCAAATGTCTGGTTCCAGAGGCTTCAGCACTCTTCTCAGGCGGATAGTAGAAGGCTAAGTCATGCACAGAATCACACCTTGACCTTGAATTTAGTCAAACACCAACTTATTGTCAATGGTATGGCAAAATGCAACAGTAAAATCATGCAGTAAAATGTAAATCACTAACAAAGATCAAATAACAAAAGCTTCGACAAGGAAGACTGGAAAACATAGTGTTATCAATAGTGACCTGGATAAAGTTTATAATATAGATATTACTAAAAAAAATGGGTGGCGATTTGCATAATAAAATGATTCCGAGAGATTTCCAACGTTATTTTTGTTACATACATTGCAGAAGTGATTACAGAATACCTGAGCCCTATCGTAATCATCTACTAATGACGTAATTCTGCTTTCGCCACACAATCCTGGAACACTTCTCATCTTCTTGGTCCTTCAGTTCACGTAAGGGTATAAGTGTCTTGAGTATGCTGACAAGCTTGCGTAGCGTGGAGAGGTTAGTTATGACCGAAGTTCGTTAATTCATCTTCATAATGTGTTAGTATATGATGTAGTAAAAATGATACAGCGTTGAGGCCATGCCTAATAGCTTCTTTCTAGTGTTTTTCACTAGGGCTAATATAATAACCATGTCGACTAGTTTCTGTTGGAAAGAAGTTTTTGACAGCACGGTCTCCGTATTTTTCTAGACTGCCATGGAAGTATTAAAATCTCCTAAACATCGATCGCTTGAAGATCAAATGTTGAATCCACCTACTAACACCTTATTCACCTCACAGTTTGAATTAAGGTCTTACAGGATCATACACCATTCACAAAAAGCTTGGTGTTCATTTTATTTACTGAGACCTGATTCACCTAATACTTTGAACTGCAATAAACCAAATCAGTCAGAGGCTCTTGATCCGTGCATTTCATGAGGTTACTAAGTTCTCACGTTCCACTTTCGTGGTATATGTCGTCGATAACGGTAGGAAGAGAGTATTTCTGATGAATAAAGCTCTTCTCATCCTTCACGTTTCTCGGTTCCGTCTGCGGACTTTTCGAAGTTAAGTGTCTATAGAGTCAGTCAAGTTCTCATGACGGCGATTGCGTTCGGTTTAGTAGAGTCTATCTGTAAACCTAGCTCCGACCACTTGTTGAGTAGGCTCCGAGGACATACGTAACATATCCAAAAATCATTTAGATGGATTCGTTTTGCACCCAAAATGGCCTCGGCATCTTATCTTAGTTTGAACTCTTTTTCAGCCTCTCACACTCTCTGCAATGATACATCTTGAAAATACTTTAGAGTATATCCGAAAATGAATCACAATTACGATTCGTGGTCGCAGGTTTGAACTCAGCGAGAAAGGTGTGAATATGCTAGCCTTACGTTTCTTGGAGTACAGATTACTTTGAAAGTGATTTTTGATGGATTTCGACACCATTGATACCTGTCGTTGGCTGCTACGGTATTAATATCAAACTGAGAACGAACATCTCCGAGCTAGAAGTTTATTTTACAGGACTAAAAGTTCCTCTTTAATAGTTGTCCGTCATTGAGGTTTACTATCCTCTGAAGTAATTTTCGAACGGGAAGTCTAGTCCTAAAGTTATTCGCATTTATCAAACTTTTGCTGTGTTCTTACGCAACAAAGTACCATTTCAGTTCTAAAGAATCGATCCTGAGCTATACGTTCGGTATATTACTTTCATTGAGTTTCACCATATTTAGTAGTTAACTGTGGTTTTGTCTCAGCTTACTATTCGTTTTTTTTGTTTTTCACGCAAAGACTAGTTCATAGATGTCATTACCAAGGTTTGATTTGATAATTTCGAATAAATTGAGCATTGGGTTAATTGTTATTAATAAAATAATATATTTGTAATATCCCAATGAGTAGAAAATTGGATTTTCTGACGTTTCGTGACTTAGTGTAAGTCACTTCTTCAGAGAATAAATAACCAAATTAAAATTAATCCAAGTTTAAATAGTACAACGGAACAATGCAAGAATAATATTTGATCAATCAAAAAAAATTATCCGGATTAATCATCGAGAAGAATGAAATCATGGTAAGCTTTGATGTCGTTTTTTTATACACAAGTGTTCCCATTGATAAATGCTTAGAATTCGTTAGTGGTTTACTTGAGAACGACAATACTCTTCCTGACAGATGTCCGTTGAGCATCAGTCTAATCATGAAATCTTTAAAACTTTGCTTAAATTCAACGCTATTTACTTTTAACGGCATGTTATTCAAACAAACTAACGGTGTAGCGATGGGATCCCCGTGTCCCCGATTGTAGCCAACCTTTTTATGGCATACATAGAATCAAATATCTTCGCCCACAACATTATACCACGAATTTGGCTTAGATACGTAGACGATACATTTGTTGTTATAAAAAGACTCATCTAAGATCTTTTTCAAAACGAATAAATACACTTTCATCGCACATCAAATTCACGAATGAAAATGAAAATGTACATGGTGAGCTACCATTCTTGGATTGCTTAGTAAAAAGAAATCCAAATGAAAGTCTAAACCTATCCATTTACCGAAAACCGACACATTCAAATCGTTATATTGACTTCCATTCAGCACATCCTTTCAGCGCAAAGATCTCGCTAGCCTTAAATCTTTTTAGAAGAGCTAACAAGATCATCACATCAGAGGAAGACAAACAAAAAGAACAAATGAATATATTTAGCATCTTATAATCTAATAATTTTCCTAT